TGTGGTCGCTGTTGCTTACGCGCTTGTTGTGCGGCAGCACGTTGCAATTCCAACCGGCTAGCCGCACTGGCCAGCAGCGCATTTAAATCATATCCAGCCGGTAATTTTCGATTGCCAATGCCGCTGCCACTGCCTCTATAACGTTCACGGGCATCCTTGGTCGCTGCTGCTGCTGACTTGCTACCACTAACCTCTATGGGGTGCGTCATTTTATTGCCAACATTGTTGTTAAGCTCGAAGCTGGACGGCAGACGCGCGATATCATCACCGTCTGGCAGGAATCTTGCCTCCTTCTTCGAGCGCGGCACTTGCAGCGGTTGTAAGAGCAAGTGGTCGGTGGCCGCGGCATCACCAACAGGCGCATCGCCGTGGCTGTCTCGTGTTGGGCGAGCGTGCTGCTGTCCCAAGGATGCCGCTGTGGCGATAAGCGATGGTGGCAAAGATAAAACTGACGCGCTGCAATAAATTGTGAGCGTGGCGAGGAGCACGGAAAGCGTGATTCTCATGCTGTTTGTTGCCTTTGTCTGCTCTTCTTGCTCCTCCTATACACAAACACACACACACACACTGGGGCGTGCGCGCGCTCGAAACACAATTGAACCGCTAGCACGTGTGCGCGTTTCCACTGCCGCAAATGTTCGACCGTCCGTCCGTCTGTCCGCGCGTCCGTCCGTCCGTCCTTGCTTTGTGGTTGGTGAAAAGTGTCTCCTTTTTTTTTGTTGGCTCTATGAGGTTCTTGTTGGCGGCGACCACAATTTGTGTCTACGCTATCGCCGTTTGTGACTTCAATTTTTTTGGGCGGACCACCAGCGTAAACGACGACGTGGTGGTTCTAAGCGTTTTTTGCAAGAAACTGAAAGTTGCTGACCATCTTCGAGCCACTTTTATAGGAGTAGCAGCAGTGACCAGCTTTGGAGTCAGCGCTCATGCAGTTGACGTTGGCCAGTGTATTAGGGAATTGACCAATTAACCAATTGGCCAGCAGCCCACCCAGGCTTGACAGCGCTTTGGGAACTGTGGCACTGTTGCGAACGCATAAAAATGGCTTTCGTTTGTGCTGACTGGTGGGGTGGACGCATTCTGAGGCGCTAGGCGGTGTTCGCTATGGCCACCAGCATCGCAGCTAAGGCTGCTGCGTCGGCAATTGTTTGCATTGTTCACGTATGCGTGAAATTAAATATGTTTTTTTTTTGTATTTTAGCTATTGTGTTGTATGTGTGATTGCGTGCGAGTAATTCTGCGCGTGTGTGGCGTAATTCTGAATCGGTACTTACATATGACCCAAGGATGGTTTATTTATTATAGAAATATTTCACGGAAGTTATGTATTATCTAAAAAAAAATGTTACAAAGACGCAGCAAAGATTAACTACAAAAGTACTTTAAGATCAGCCAACGAAAAATCAATGTCAAAGTCATTTCTGCTCTTTATTAGTTTAACAAAGATAAGATGAGGATGAGGATACCGATAAAAGTAAAGATGAAGATAGAGGAAGAAAGATTAAAATAAAGATAATTATGGAGAAAAGGATATAGATTGAGACACGGAGACTCATTCTGTGAATTATTTTGGGATTTTAGAGATTTTCGGGATTCTCGAGACTTATCGATATAATAATCAATATTTTGTCGGTTTTGTTATCGATTTTGTAATCGAAATTTTTATCGATATTGTTATCGATTTTGCCATCGATATCTTCGGAGCCTATCGACATAATAATCGATAGAAGCAAACCGCGTTACCAAATTTTCCGTACACTGCATACCTTTTTTATTTTTTCTGGGATGGTGCCTGTGAAGAAGGAAACTGTCACCGCCATGAACTATTTGCAGTCTCACATCTGCATCTACATGCTAAATCCTCTGCACAAATCACTCTCTCCATGGTACTACCATTCAAGGTACTACTTCAAGGGGCTAGTTGGCCCAAAGGCTCGTTACGCATTTTGACGGCTCCTTAGTGCTCAGCTCGGCTCAAAAAAATCAATGGTAACTTTTAGCCAGTTGAAACTTGCATATTATTACACTAAAATTTAATGGGCAATAAAAATGAGAAAAAGTTGGATTTTTTTTTTAAATGCTCTATAAAATCTTAATCTTAGGTTTATATGGTATTTGTTAGGGAATTAACTGTATTTTATTTGAAAAATCTTAAAAAATTATAAATAAACAAAAGTGTCAAACAATATTATTCTGGATTAGGTCCAAAATGATATGTCCAACACTGTTTGTATGTATGTATAAATATGTATAATCAATGACTTTTTAAATAATTTAGTTCTTGTAAAAATTACATACCATTGCTTTATGTAGTTTTTTTTTAATAAGGTGTTTCTTTATTTCTTTATCTGTTTAAATAATGCTACGATCTTGGTTTTTAAATGGCTTGTAGTTTGTTTTATTCAATAAGCAGCATTAATAGAAAAATACTTGAAATAATTCCAATTGATTAATGTGACATAATATTTTATTTGAAAGAATTTTACAATTTTATTAGTATTTAAAATTCGCAATTATCTACAGAAATTGAAAAGTGTCGTGTGTACTTCGTATTAAAGTATGTATATATGTAAGTAGAGATATTTGCCTAAACCCACATTTAATCAGAAAATTTTCTTCTTTAAGCCTCTTATTTTGCTCTTTTTGGCCTCGTTCCTTTTTGAAATAATAGAATTCTGGCGTTTTTTCCCACGTGATTTTTATTTTCTGAGCCTATTTGAGTTGGAAAGAATATAAGTTTTAACTATGGGTCAATAGCACGTTGAATAGCTTACAATGTTGCTTGCAAATGAGCCCTATCTTTGACTAAATAAAAAATAATTTTAACTGAAAATTTAATTATGAAAAAAGACTTGCGTTACAAATAGTTTTGCACCGAGCACACTTGGATAGTTAAGAAGGCAGAAAATGCTCGAAGAAACCCAGATTTTTCCATTTTTTAGCCTGGTGGATTCCGCGTCAAAAACTTTTTGATATTCTGGACATTACATTAAAAAATTATGCCGACTTTATTTTCATTAAGAAAGTTAATCACTGATTATTTTGTCGAATACTTTTTTATTAACTTCAAAGTACTACAAGGCAATCGAAGAGAATTTTCATGTTTGAGAGCAGGAGATTCGTGTGAGTACTTATATTCTCTAATACCTCAGAATATGTATGACCGAGATATAAACATAAGTTGCGAAACCTGAGAAAAAAATGTGACGATTTGGGCCATACACTTTTAAATTAATACAATTTATAAATAGGGACCCGAGTTTTCTTTCGACGGCACTGCATACGCCCATTCCCATCACCAGTCCGAAGCAGACTCTATCAAGTCATATAAACTTCTACCAGCCAACGTGGCATCTTTTTGGCAATCATATCCCTCAATTTATCTAGGTCCCTGGAATACACACACCTTGTAAGTTATTTATAATATTTTTTCTAAATCCACTTTCCCACGCTTTGCGTGCGTCCGGTTCAATGCTTCATCCTTTACGCGCATAGTTGGTGGCAATCATTTCGACCGATTGACACTAAAAGCTGTGGCGGCACATAACACAGCGCAAAAGTGTGCAATGCCACCAAATAAAGCGACAACATTTTATTTAAGTAAGTAACTTCACTTCACAATCGCATGCACCCCATAAATTTGTCACGTCCCGACATACGACAAATGATGCGCTAAATTAAACAGAACAATAATGCAGAAAAGGTTAGTTGGGGTGGGGGGTAAAAAACGCAAAGAGAATGAGGATAACTAAGAGTGAGGCCGCCAGGTCCATCAAACGCCGATAAAGCCAAATGCGAGCTATTGTTGTCAACGCATTGGACACACACACGCTTACACACCGAACAGTGGCAAAATCGAATGGCCTGTTTGGGCCAAGTGCCAGTTGCCAGTTGTTAGTTGTTAACTACTTTCATTCAAAGAGGCTGCTACTTTTCTTGATTATTTCTTTTTGTTTTCGTTTCTTTTTAACGCTGCTTTGTGAGGCTTACGAAAATTTATTGCCTGTTAATGTAGCATCGGAATTGTGCAGCGCCAAAAGTAAAAAAAAAGGGGTAAAAGAAGAAGCAAGTAAGCAACGATCTCAAGCTTTGAATTTCTATTACACTTCGTGTGAGTGAAAAATGGTATTTGCGATCAGCAGACTGCACCAGAGTGCTAAGAAGCTGGACACGGAGGCAGAACCCGTGGGCACGTTTTTAATTAAGTAATACGCCCGAGAACCTACAACGATGCGCCACAGCCACAACTCATCGCTGCTACTGCCGTCTAAAACACCGATGTTGGCGGCTGGACTGCAGTTGCAGTGCCCATTTGTTGCTGCGCCTGCGCCTTGATCGTCTTATGGCGTTCTTTTTTTCCCTGCTTGGTTTTGTGTGGTTTTTTGGTCTTGGTCTAATCCCGCTTACAAATTGCTGCCAAGCAATTTATACGCCACAGCGGCGTCATTGGCTATTGTTGCTATCTCAGTCGCGACGTTCTAATTTATTTCCTCTCGATTTCTGTTGCATTGACATTATTATAAATTGACTGTTGTGCTGGGGGCCGGCAGTGGGCCATATTGGAGTGTTAGACTTTGTGTGGGAAAAGGTGGCGCGTGAGCTTCAGCCTAGGTGGCTGTGTGTAAATTGAACTGAGTTAAGCTAGCTGTTTTTGGTAGTGTCTGTACAATAGCTGGTATGTATGTATGTATGTATGTAGGCTTAAAAATGGCTAGATTGTAATGGCAAATAAATTAGCGCTGAGAAATGGAATTGAAGGGAATTCTAATTGAGATTGGATCGGCTAGTAGCTGGCACAAGGCGAAGCAGGATTTCAATTAAAAGAGTTGTAGATAAAATTTTTGCCTGAGTTACTTCTATACCATATAAGCAGTGAAATTTCTGAGAGAAGTTAAAAAACGTAATTAAATTTCAGAATTTATTACTTTATTATATAGTATTTGCATATGACAAATGTTTAATAAAAAAAAAAATACTCATCTTCACTCTTTCATTTGCAGCACGAAATCAACGAGGTGTTCGAAGAGCGTCGTGCTCGGCAGCGTGCACTGCAACTGCAAGAGGCCGATACCAACGCCACAGCTGTGCGAAATGCAGCCAATGATAACGATGCAGTTATTAATAACTGCCACAACAGCACAAGCAGCGCTAACAGATTATCCCAGTGCGATGTAGTTGACGCGTCACCACCAGCGCACAGCAACATGACGGAAATTGCAAGTGTTGCCAATGCCGACCAACTTTCGTTTATATCAGCAGCAGCAGCAGCAACAGCAGCAGCATCTACACCAGTAAAAGGCATCGATTTGCATAGCCGCACCACCACAGAACTTAAAGCTTTACCGCCGCCACCACTCAGCCCCAAGATGAACGGCGTGGAGAGTGGCCAGCCAAAAGATAACAGTGAAGATGCTTCTACCGCCATCGACGCTACACAGGAGGATGTAAATATTTGGGCAAATAAATTTCTACGCGATTTGGATAACTTAATGTCATCGACACGTCCACTTTCGCTGAGCGCCTGTTCGTCGCCAACATCGAAGACCTCACCACAGTTGTTGTCCGCTGCAGCCACAGCTGCCATACAGAGTCGTTATGGGCGTGGTGCGGCGGAACGTGCGGAGCACTGTGTGGCAAATGGATTGGTGGTGTTGCGGCCAGAGAAACACGTAAGTTCAATTATGACTTTACTTAATTTTTTTTCTCTATAAATCTTGAGGGAATGAGTTATATGTATATATGTATATGAAAATTTGTAGAAAATTCTGTGGGTCTAATCAATAGTTTCGGTTCATATACACATTTCTACACACCGACCCCGACAGTCTAAAACACCCGATTAGTGTTTGGGCCAAGCGTTAACGGCAATTGGTGGAAAGTTTGAATGACTCAAAGGGTTGACGAGTATGCTGCATCGTCTAGGCCAATTGCAATCAAAATATAGTGAAAAGTCTCTTAGTTGCAGGAATAGCTTCAGGCATACTTGCAACCTTCTTCTCTATTTGAAGCCGTAAACAATTAAAACTCTCTTGGACCATTCTAATGTAGTTCTTGCAGTCCTCTAGTTGCGTAACCCGCAGAACTGGCTTGATGTATCGCCAGGATTTTTTTTTTGAAAAAGCAGTTTCTCTTTTTATAGCACTGCTTGAGGTACCGTTCTTTGCCTTTTTTCCGCTTAAGGAGAACCAATGTTACGACAAGTAACCAATGTAGGCCAAATATGTTTTCGAAACCATTTTTACCACGAGAGGCATTTGACGACAAACCTTCCGCAATGAAAACTCAACTGAGAATGATTTTTGATCAAAGTATTGATGGGTTGATTTAAGCGAGCGCAAGTCCACAGGCTCCGTTTAAGTAGGTTAAAATTCCCATTTGTAAAGCAAGGTCAACGCAGCAAATCAGAACTATAAAACTATATACGAAATTGATTTATTTAGTTAGATAAGGAGCCAGTATAAGGTGATTTTCATTAAAATGTATTTTAAGTGTGTGATGGGTGGTTCACTGTGTGGAAAAATTTGTGTGACAAAATATAATATCTCGTGAACGAGAGCAACTTTTGAGCTAGAAAATTCACACAATCGTTGGTTGGAAAAATTATCTTGAAGAACAGAAAAACACATTTAAGTTGATTGTAAAAAAGTAAAAAAATCGAAAAATATTACTTTTGAAGTTCGTTTCGCAATGACGGAAAATCGTTCTACGATACATCATACTCCTACCTTATCGGAAACCAAAAAGAACATTTAATGAAATTTTAGAAAAAAAATAAAAAAAAAGCAATTAAATATGTTTTCGGTTCTTGAGATTGGAAACCATTTTACGTCGATNATAAAAAAAAAAAACAATTAAATATGTTTTCGGTTCTTGAGATTGGAAACCATTTTACGTCGATAAGCTCAGTGATTTGATATTTCGGCCCGAGAGGTGATTAGTCGGGAATCAGTAATCACTCTGTTAATCATCCTGTCTTCAAATTGATCTTCCCAGGAATCAGGCTTTATTATATTTGCTACTTTTTGCTAGAAAAAAATTTATAGGAAAATAAGGCAGCAAACAAATTGTTTTAATACGGGGGCTAGTTTTTGCACAGGTGATGCTGAAAGAGAAAACTTTTTAACGCCTTCGCGATATCGGTGACGCGTTTTATGAAGAAGAACCTAGTCCCATATATAGGAACGATACACGTGATTCACCCACTCGACCAAGTCGAGGGGAAAATAATAAAACTGTTACTTAAAAACAACAAAGGCCTCGTAAGTGAAGGAATATCGTCTCTGAGCTGCTCGAAGCTGGTGGCAAAGAGCTGGGAGGTAGGCGCATGTACCATCTGTTCAGCGCAACTTGGTCTCATAAATACGTCAGTGTACATCTCTCAATCCACCAAAAGAGAGAGCCTGCCAGTTGTAGCGTGATTAGCATTTCATAAACCAACTAATTGCAACTACCGGAGGGAGAGTGTTAGCTGACGGGGTTCAAGTGGGGTATGTCGTGGTGAAGTCTGGATAGATACAATTCTTTTGAATGTCTTGCAACAGATGAATTGCTTATAAAATTTTACAACTCGAATGTAACTTAGCATTTATTTTCCTTTAAAATTACTTTTATTTTTGTTCACTTCCATCAAATTTGAATTATTTGGCTCATTAGAGGCCAATTATGCCCAATCGACAACCAAAAAAGGCTAAAACAAGCTAATATTTACCATCGAGCCAACTCGATCCGCTCAGATTCTAAGAGCAGAAATCAACAATTGCTTTTCGCTTGTATTCGCCTGTCAATTCGATGCTTATTTACGACATTTACGACCAATTTTTTTTTTATTTAAATTTTTTTTTTTAGTCTCCCCAACTGATCTGCGTCGATTGCAGGTGAGCGCCACAAGCGCTAACTGACTAACGTAGCGGTTTTGCTGCTTAACGTGTTGTAAACATATGTTTGTGCACACATTCGACAGACAGCTTGCTGCAAGCAGACGAGGCATACATATCGCTGTTGCTGGCTGTACCACAGTTTGCCACTACTTTATGTCTCCAATATGCATTTTGCATGCGACACAACAACAATGACATCTTAGCTATGTCACCTTGTGCACTGCAAGAAGAAGAAGGTACGTCACGGCGGCACAGCGGCACAGCAACACGGCAGCACGGCAGCCCGTCATGCCTCGGCGAGTAAGTCAAGCAGCGCAACCTTAAGTTAACCTACAGCGCACTTAAGCGACATCACCGTGATACGAATTAAAAATTTATGGTAATTTCGCGATCGGTTTCATAAATTCAAGCACCTTTTGTGACTGGGGCGTCCATTGGGAGCGTGGCGTGGGGAGTGAATAAACATTGAAATAAGCTAAAACAATTGACAAAATAAAGAGCAATAAAGCGCAAAAAAAGAAGAAACAAATCTGTGTTCGATGCAAGCAAGCAATACAAAGTAAAGCGTTGCAGTGGCACACTTTATGCAGACTTGATTCTTTGCCATAGTGGCTGGTGGCTACCGATACTGATGCAGCTGCTGGATAGTGGCTGTGTTGCAATGTGGCACCTCTCCGCTTACTGCAGTGGTGGCGATTTTTTATTTTTTATTTTTGTCACTAACAGCATCAATAATGAACGCTCGCGATTACATGGGAACGCGCGCGCGCACCAGCGGAAGGTATATACACGGTGTTGCGCAGCACTCTGGGACGGACAAGGGCAGTAGTGACTTGTTGCGGCGCNCGCGCGCGCGCACCAGCGGAAGGTATATACACGGTGTTGCGCAGCACTCTGGGACGGACAAGGGCAGTAGTGACTTGTTGCGGCGCAGCCAGCACGTCCACTGCTGCTGCTGCTGTTGCATATTGCTTGTTGCTTGTTGCTTGTCGCAAGCGCATGTTTATTATTTGCAACTTTATGGAACATTATTCTTGCCGCATGGCCTTTTTCTTATTTTTTTTAATTCGATATTCAATTGCCTTTTGGTGGGTATATACCTGCATATATAGTGCGCGACACAATGATAAGGCCACCCTATAAGTTTCTCTTTTTTCGAATAAGATTTAATAATTTCGTTATAAAAATATATGCACGTATTTCATTCTAGGTAGGTAATGTAGGTAGGTTTGGCTGCCACTGCTTCGCAGGGGCACAAATTGAAGGTCCGTTGTGTTACCACAGCTAAAAGGTTTTACTCCCCCATTGCTGAATCATTTTGAATCCGTGACGAAACTCGTCAGGCACCTGGCATTTAAGTCTCTCACTTTGTCAGGGTCACTAAAGAGAGGAGACTCCAGAAATCCCTATCTACTACTCGATAATGCCAGACAGTTACAGGCATGATGGAGAACTGGCTATTCCTTCTCACAACTTTTGTAAGTTCTGCAGGATCCATGGTAATGTGTTCGATTATTCGCTTTTTTGCCAAAACCGGTTTTTGAGTTATTCGAAAAATTTTAATTTTAAAAAAACTCCGATTCCTGATTTTGAAATTAAGAAAAACCCGGATAAACTCCGAGCCGTTCTGTATATAACTGCCTGTAAGGCATGTTAGAGCACCAATTGTGTAAGATATATCCCTCACAAGTTCGTCCGTATTACAGTTACCCTCTATATGCCTATGACCAGGAACCCAACCTCATAGCCATATCTTTACTTACTTTAGCTTGGAAGACACTACAGTAGTCACAGCTGAAGTGCACTCATCCCTGCTTGAAGTTTTCCTGATGAAGCTTCAATCCGGAACCAGAGTTTCAACACAACGGTCTGTTTCGCCCAGAAGAAAGTTCTAATTTCCAAAAATTAAGGAGTGACACTGGAATTCCAATTCCCATTGCCCTGTCTCACTTAACTGAAGTGCAGCAAGGGATGCCATCCCATATTTCTTGCCAATGGCCTTCCTGCTCGAATGTAGGACTACAGACGCCTTCTCATAACGCTGGACTATGTTCTCCTACCAGATCAGTTTTCTGTATATTTATACCTAAAGCTAAAGAGTCGCCTGTTCAGTTCCATCGGAGTCAGTAGCGGCATCTTGTATTTTCTCTTAAAGAAAACAAATTCCACTCTCTCGGAATTGACGCAGGGACTACAATGGTAAGACCATATTAATACATCGCAAAGTGCCCTCTGCATCAAGTCGGTGAGAGTTTGCGGGTACTTGCCGCTATACGTGATGGCTACATAATCCGCACAAGCGACAACCTTTGCACTTCCCCATTTCGAGAACACGCCACCCTACGGTATGCCCCTCGTCACATACGTCAAGTTTCAAGCTTCGTATAAAACTAGTTCAACAAAGTGTCAACAAAATTTTATACTGTTTATTCAGAGCTTTTTGAAACTTTTCGGCTGTTTTTTTTTTTAATAATTTTTTTCAACAATTTTTATGAGCTCGAGGCCGTTTTCAGTGAAAACTTATTGTGGAAAAGCAACAATAATTTGAAAAAATGGTAGAAGNCTTATTTTCCACTATTTTAATAATTTTTTTTTTCGTTGGCGGTGTCATAAATTTTCTTCCATACGAAGTTTGCTGGACCATTGTTATATGAAGAAAAATGTACAACATAGTCAACAAAAAAATTGCCAACAAGTAACGGTAGTATGCAGCCACTTTAATCTTGAACATTTACTAAAAATCTCAATAAATAGTGAGACATTTCGTTGACACTTTGGAGATTTTTTTAAAT